TTATCAAAAATAAAAATTTGAAAAAAACACAGTCAAAAATAAAAATAGGAAATACAATTTTTTTTTATAATTTAAATTGTAAATAATTTATGTGTGTTTTCTGACTGCGGAATGACTTCCAATCATGGATGTAGAGAGATCTGCATCTTGCACATCTCTCTTAATCCATGAATTGGGACCCTATTTTTTTTACAAAAAGCGCATTCAAAAATCCGCAACTCAAATCTATCGTTGGCCTTCATTTTATGCCAGAACATAAGTTGGAAGTTTGGTAGGCGAAACGCCCACAAACTTTCCCCCGTGTATTCCTTAATAATAAAATTTTCATGGAATTCCTCTTCTAGGAGGGTATTCTTCGTCTGTGCACATAATGCACAGAGTACTGTCCCTCCTCGATATTGCTCGAAAAAGGGGATCTCCAGATGATAGTATGGTTAAAAATTCTCCCAGAATTTGGAGATCCCCTTCGCCGGTAATGAAAGATTTTTTATCTTCTCCTTTTCATCTTCGATCTCAATAAGATCGGGGATCTGAAAAGAGAAAATATATATATTCATATACATATATACATACCCGTGTGGAAAAAGCCACGATCTTGCCCTCAAGAGTTCGGGGCCCCGGCGGGGGCCCATGAGGGCTGATCCATATGGCGAATCCATGAGGGGCAACGTAGGGGCCCCGCATGGATCGCCCTCATGATCGATTAGCAAAATTTTCTAAGTCCAAAATTCAAATATTTTTTCGTCAACAAAAAATGAATGTTTCCAATGATTCAAAACAACGAAAAACGCGTTTTTAATAAAAATATATTTACACTTTTTTTGAAAATTCACCTGAGATGATTCATGATAATAATCATAAAGCATATAATTAATTATATTTTATAAATTGCATTTGATTGGAAAATATAATTTTTTAATTAATTAATTTATTATTACTTTAAGTTATATCCGACAGTTAATTAATTAGAACGTTAATTAATAAATTCAATTTGAGTAAGAATTTAATTTAAAATTGAATAATTATTAAATAAATATGTTATTTATTCATAACTTAAGCTTATTTATTATTAATTAACTTTTATTATTAATATTATTGATTAAAAAACATTATGGCAAACTTGAGGGCAAGATGAGGGCAAACGTGAGGGCCCATAAGGGCGCCCGTAGGGGCACCCTCATGGATCGCCCATGCGGGCGCCCTCATCGATGAGCATGTCGTTTCCATGAGGGGCCCCTATGGATCATCCATATGCGCCCTCATGGCATGAGGGCGATCCATAAGGGCCCCCACTAGGGACCCACATCACTTTTCCACACGGGTACACATCCTCTTATTTATTTATTAAATATATTATTTTTTTTTTAAATTGTTCCCCCCCTTTTTTTCTTACATAGTTCTGTTCTAAAACCGCAATCAGCACTTCCATGATGTTTTTTTTTATTATTATTAGGAAAATCACCCTTCTTTTTTTTGAATTATTATTCACATGTTTGTAAAACACTTTTCTTCTTTTCTCTTTTTGACAGGTATTGCGTCTTAATTTAATATCCTTTGCTGCCATCTACTTCCGTTTTAATTCTGCTAACTTTTTTTTTAGGGATTTTTTTTTGTTGTGTGGGAAAATTCAAATTATCAAAAAGAAATATCATACCTTCTTGATTTTAATTAATTAATTTGTTTCTCCCCTTTTTCAGAATAACGGACTTCAGGACGTTATTTATTTTCAAAGGATATTAGGACATTTACTTTCCAGAGGATATTTATATTCAAAAGGACATCACGACATCCACCAAAAAAAATTTAAGGACATCAGGAATTTTATATTCAAAAGGACATCATGACATTCCTTGGACCTTTTCGGACAATTATTGTATTGATATTCAAGGAGCAACCTTTTAAGGAGAAATAAAAGAAAAGGACCAATTCAAAATTTCCATTCATCATAGAATCTAATCTACCGCCGTGGGATTTAAAATACATATATATTAAGACCATCTCCTATGGGAGATCGTCCAAACAAAAATAGACCATCCCTTTTATTAGAAATTTTTTTTTGGATCGTCTTAACAAAATTTTTTTTTCTACTAACTTTCCCTTAATTTTCTCTTTACAGTAATAAAATTCTGCCTTTTTATAATCTTATAAATGCATGTTTTACGCGATTCACGTGTACGATTTTTCTTTCACATGAATCAATTTGAATTTCAATATTATATTAGTTTATAATTCTTGTAATTTTAAAAGGACCTGTGTAGTGATCTTCAAATTTATTTTCTCTTTTTTCGTTTGTTAGATAAATATATTCACCCTTTTTAAAATTCTTTTCATTTATTTTCATATCGTAATATTTTTTGCACCGTTGTTTTGAAGACATTAATCTGGTAATTACCATTGATTCTGTTTCGGCTATTTGTTTCAATAACTCATTTACATATAAATCATAAGTAATTGAAAATTGATTTTTGGCAAATTCTGATGGAATTCGCGCCTTTTTTCAAAATACCATTTCATGAGGAGTTATCCCTGTAGATTCATGTAAAGATGTATTAAAAGAAAATATTGCTGATTGTAACCAACAATTCCAATTTGTCTTTTCACAATAATGTCTCAAATATTCAATGAAAGTATGATGACTTCTTTCTAGAGCCCCTAATGATTGTGGATGATATGCGGTAGATTTGATTTTTTTAATTTTAAATAATCTAGCTATTGATTTCATGAGTTCACTTATAAATTAAGAAACTTGATCAGTATGAATGGCTTCTGGACAACGAAATAAACAAATAAAATTATCAACAAACGCAACTGCCATTGATGCTGCATCTGCTTTTGATAATGGGATTGCACATGAATATTTACTGAGACAATCTTGCCATGTAAGGATATATTTACTTCCTGATTCTGTGGCTGCGCGCGCATGGTGTTGCCAACTGCCGCCGAATTGAAAATGAAAAAAAAGTTATATATTACAAATATTAAATTCATTGCATGTGTGTATTATTCGGGAAAAAAATTTTGTTATTTGTAAAAGAAAAATTTATTAAAAGATTAATAATTTACATTTTTCTTACCTTAAAAAACGATGAGACGGCGGCAGCAACATCAATAGCAACAACAACAACAAATAATTTATTAAACTTTACAACGTCTTTACAGCTTCAAAGATACATAACCTCAACTATTTCGTGAGCACGAGATCACGCACAATTTTTTTTTTCATTTTCAACTCGGCGACAGTTAGCAACACCATGCGCGCGCAACCAACTCCAACCGACTTGGACTTGGAGTTGCCAAACGGGGCTATTGTAGAAGCTCCATCATATAACTTAGGTCGGAGTTACATGTTGCTGTAAATGCAGAATTCAAAACCGAAAATAAGGAGAGTGAAAATGATAGTAATATATCCCTGTCCTTTTCACTTTCATTATTTTTGGTTTCATTTATATAATACAAAAACTCGAATCAATAAATGTAAATTCAATTGATTCAGGTGAAAAGAATTCAAGTTAAAAAAAAGAACTCATCGTAACGTCCCACCCTACTGAAAATCCCTGTACAAGATCTTGTACAATTTCCTGTACAGGATCAGCAAGTGAACTTGTACAAGTTCTGACCAGTTCCTGTATTTGGAACAAGTTCATGTGTGAGATCTTGTACAAGATCTGGTGCAAGATCTTGTACAAGAATGATACTTGTACAAGAAAATGAACATGATCTTGTACAATTTCATGTATAAGTACTTGTACATGAACACGTTCATGTTCTTGCACATGTATAGTTGTAAAAATTTTTTTTAATAAAATTTGAGGTTTTGGTAATTTTTAACCTCTAAGATTCGTAACTCATGCATGCTAAAAACTATTGCGCAGCTGTAAAGGTTAAAGTAAACTATTGCGCAGCCTTTGAAGTTTTTAATTTTTAGTAAAGAAAAAAAATTAACACGTGCAAGAGCATGGACGTGGTCATGCACAAGAACTTATACATGAAATTGTACAAGATCATGTACAAAAAAAAATTTGATCTCAAATAATTAAATTAATATTTGCTTTTAAATGTGCATCTTTATTAGTAATTGTATTAAAAAAAGATTAAAATAATTTTTTTAAATCATTTTGCAACAGTTATATTAAATATAATAATAATAGTTATTTTTCATGAACGCGTCGTAATTGATGCACTTGCCCCTATAAATTTCTTAAAAATATGCATTAATTTTAAAAGTTAATTTTTTTTTAAATTCAAAGTAACGATTTCAATATGGCGGACGAGGTTTTCAAATATTAATAACTATTTTGTTTCCGACAATTTGAATTTTTTAAAACTAAGTCCGAAATGAAGATCTTCGTCACTCGCAGCGTTAATTTATATGGTTGATATTTTTTTTAATTAACACAGAATTGTATTACTCATATAATATAATTATAGTATATAATTAACTATTTTTCTGTTAAAATTTAGTAGGAGGCAACAATTTAGAACTTTTAACTACATATTATAAAAATAATTTTTTAAAAACTGCTAAAAATTATAATCATTATATGAATTTTATTATATAACTACAAAACTTTTTTAAGTTACGACTAAGATTGTAAACGTATTTCAAATTATCCAATTTTAGGCTAATTCAATAACTTAATAAGGCCCATAATTGTTTTTTAAGATATTTTAAATCAAACAATTTTTAAATTGACTTGAAAACTAATTAAAATTATAGTAATGTTACTTTTTGAGGTTGTGTTGTACCCTTATTTATAAAATTATTGATTGCGAACCACCTTGATTGCGTGAACGAAATAATAATCATAATTCATAAGTACAAAAATTACCGAAATAATACGAAAAATGAGCAACTATAATAAAATCGAAAGAAACGTTGAATTTTACATTTAATAATTAAATTTATATTGAGGAATCAAATTATTAACTACATATTTTATATATATATATATATATATATATATATAGAAGCGTAGGATTAATTAATCAATTAATTCAAGTACATTTAAATTTGAATTTATGTTCTTTTATAAATGGTTACATTATAAAAATATCCAGATAATTATTACACAATATGTATTTTTTTCTAACTTTAAAAATTAAATGTATGAAAAAATATTTTTAACCCTCGGAGCACACACCTCTTTTTTCGAACAAGTAGCACAGTCTGGGTTGCTGTGACCCTGTTTACTTTACAAAACTCCCCCACTTTTGAACTATTAGACTGATCAACACAAAAAAAATATTTTTTTATTCATTGAACCTTGTAAAATAAGAATATGCAGTTTAGAAATATTATTAAATTATTTGCATATTGAAAAAAAATTCGTGAAGTTAACTAATTAAAAAGAAAAAATTGAATTTAAAAAAAAATGTAACTCTTGTAATTTTTAATATTTTAAGTTAAAAATTGGGATTTATATTCTCGAAGTGTGTTAGAATAAGGGAAAAAATACAACCTTATTTTATTTTTTAGAAAAGGTATTTATTTTGTAGTTTAACGAAGGTAACTTTTAAGACGATAAAAATGTGATTTTCGACACAACTTTTTAAAACTATACTTTTTTATTAACATATTTACTAGTATTTTATTATTTTCTTTGGATTATCATGTTACTTATTATTCCTTACTAGTTAGTTACCACTATATGGCCTTAGGTTCGTGTTGTATTGCCGACTTTTCAAATTACACTTCATTGAAATTAATGACAGGGCCTGTGTGACCCAGTATGTGCTCCGAGGGTTAAATAGGCGCTTACAAGATATTCTTAAATTTAGAATTTTCTTCTAATGTGTGTATTTTGGCCTTGCAAACTCATGTAACTCCATAATTTGTATGTTATAAATTACTGTATATGTTTGACGTTACCAGCAAACAATACAACATGATTATTTTCATCAATTGATTTAATAATTTTATAATGAAACGGATGATTAGCATTAAATTCAGGAGAATCGGGTCTCATCATTCTGTAGCTGAAAACTGAAGCTGAAAAAAAATACCACACAAAAAATTAATTTTTTTACTTTAAATGTAATTAAGAATTGAAAATATTATATAATAGAAATTTAAAAAAAGACTTACCTGAAGCTGCATCAGCTTCAGCACCATTCTCATTGACTTCAATAAAAGTTTTATGCATAATTTTACACCCACCAATTATGTCATCTGTAATGCGAGTGAAGTTTGCGACATCCATAAACAAATCATTTATACCCATCTATTATATGTGGAAGTAAATGTTTTAGTTTAGTATTTAAAAAATGAAAATCAGGTAAAAGTAATTAATTAATAATGTTGGATATAAAAAATTGACAGTTATTTTAAATTTATAATAATTTGTAGCAAATTTTGTAACCAACAGATTTTGACGTGAAAAATTTATTAATTCATTCAAAAGCATGTGCACCACTTTTATCCTTCAATAATAAAAAAGAGCAAATGAATAATTCCATTTTTCACGTTAATTTCTGTCCAATACAAAATGTGTTTCAAATTAGAGTAAACTTAAAATGTAACCAACCTTATGTAAAGCATCATACAAGTCAGTGGTAGCTTCAACCCGAAATTTAGGCAAATTCAATTTAACTTTAATAAGCGATAGAGATTTTCTGAGGACTCTAAGGTTTACTCTCTCTAAAATACTTTCAACATCGTCCAAACCATACATTTCATCAGGAAGCACGATAAGCATACTAAGTTCGTCACCCTGTAAAAGAAAAAAGTCAATCTTAATCTTATCCAACATCCTAATACGAAATGATTCCAGAATTTATATGTACAAAATCATCATTGTTGCGGCATGATACCACATTTGTACATATGCAGATTGTTAATTAAACTTTTTGAAAATTTTTCAAAAAAAAATTATATCTTGTAAACGGTTTGCTAAAAAAAATTATCAAAAATATATTGAAAGCTAATTTCAATTAGTATTAAAAGAATCATAATATTTCATAAAATTAATCAGAGATATAAATGCAAAATAATGTGGTTCATCTTGTATAGTGATAGAAAGAATATAGAGAATCTCACCTTATATGGCAATTCTATGAATTTAGCTTTTATTGCAGGAACATGTACAAATCTATATTCAGCTATTTGAATCATAGTAGGTACGTTAGTAGTTTGATGATTATAGCCATAAAAGAACAAATTAGTAACAACGTTGAACTTATTCTTCCATTCACCTTTAAAGTGAATGGCATTAGTGAGGACCATTTTAGTAGATGCTACATCTATATCATCTGAAAAAAAGTGAATGTAGATTAAAATCAAAAAATTTTATTTAGAAATGTTCACCACTTCATAGCTTTATAGTTAAAACAAACTTTACACTTATTTTTCTTATCAAAAAATTTTTCCAAATTATATACGTACTTGGTGATAATATATTGTTGATTTTGTTATTTGTTTGTCTCGAAATCCATCCATTAATCGCATTTGCTGTTGCTGTTGGAGTTCCAAAATTCGCTAAAAATTCATGTGCTTTAAAGTAATTAAATAATTCGTATCTAAATGATTCCTTAAGTCTTAGACTATGACTGACGAATATTGCGTTAGAAATTTGTAATTCTGCATCTGTGACATTCTAAAAAAAATGCAATATAACTTATAAAGATAGTATGCCGGATTAAAGTTTGGGACAAAGTAATCCAAATGTTGGAACTAATTTCACCGCGCATTTACTTATGTTCTTACCATCCAGTTTTCCATAATCAACTTATAATTATTTAAAATTTGTGCGCCCGACTGGGATGGCTGATTGATAGCTGTGACTATTTGAGATCTAGTTCTTCCTCCAGCTCCAACGGCAAGTATAGCTAAGAGTATATTTATACTCAAAGGAGATAATAAAACATTTTGTATGGATCCTTTTGACGCTGCATTCTAGACATCAGAATAAAAATATATGAAACATCTTTACAATATTTATTAAAAATTTATTGTTCAGATCTTATATAGATATACTAGCTACCCTGCGCGCTTCGCGCGCCAACCCCCCGTTATTTATTGGTTTTGTTGATAGCCATATGACCTATTTTGAATTTATGTTTGGCCAATTTCTGGAATTTAAAACTATTATAAATATTTTATTATTTATTTTTTTTAAATCTTATTTATGATTTTTATTATTTTTAATTTTTAAAACAAAATTTATTTAATTTTTTAAAATTTCCTGCCATAATTTGACCTACATATAAAGTTATGTTCGTTTTTTGGTCATTTTCCTTTAAAGTTTGACCTAAATTTTAAAGTTATGTTTGTTTCTTGGTCGTTTCCCGACAAAATAACTAAACCTCAAAATTTAGGTCAATTTTGGTGGAAAATCCACCACCCCTTCAACGTAAGAGAGGGGGACGACTTGCGGCTTTATTCAGAGTCTTGAAACGAACAGAACCTCAAAACTTAGATCATTTTTGGCGAGGGGGGATGAAGGGGGGGGGGACTTGCGGCTGTATTCAGAGTCTTGAAACAGCGGTAGCGGCGTTGGCGGCGATATCTTTTTGTAATATAGGTATATATATATATATATACCTTGTATAAGTTGTTATTGAAGTTTTCCAAGATATCATAAAAGTTGAGTGGTTCTGCATTATCGTAATTTACGTTACCATAAGCAATTACTGTATAAATACTACAAGAACCTATTAGAAAAAACGACAGTAAATCTGCAAAAAAAGACACAAATCACATTTAGAATTAGAATCTTGGGCGCCAAAATGAAAATATGTAACACGCCACAAGAAAAGATAACATAGAGGCAAACAAATTTTAAGTTATGTTTGTAGTTTTTAAATTGAAAATACTTTCCAAGAATAATTTTAATATATCCCTAATAACACAAGATATCTTGGGATATATTGATAATATCCCGCAGATATCCTAGGGATGTCCTATGGATATCAAAAGGATCTCTTAAGCATATCCAAAAAATCGGCGGTTTGGATATATCCTGGATATCCCATGGATATCTGAGTATATCCACATGATATCTTCTGGATATCTCTATAGACTGTCATAAATGTCCTCCAGATATCCCATAGATATCGTCAGGATATTCCACAGATATTTTCAGTATATCTTCTGGATGTCAAGAAGATATTCTCAGGATGGGGACCATTCTAGGATATCGACCATTGATATGGATATCCTATGGATATCCTAGGGATATCCTTTTGTTATGAGGGATAATACTTCATAATATATAAGACTTTATTAAATCAAATATATTAAATAAAAACTGATTTTAATTTTATATAATTAAAAATAATCATATTTAATTAATGCTAAAACTATCACTAAACATAACCTAAACTTTTTTGCTTTTAAGGTCCTTTTTCTCATAGTGAAGCCTTAAATATACCCAAGTAGCACGATATATCAACCAGATGTCACGGTGATATCACCGGGGAATGTCACCGTGACATCAGGAAAATGTCAAAATGTCCGCCTTACGGTGATATCACACGGTGACATCGAGGTGATATCATGGTGATATCACCGTGATATCACCGTGATATAATGTTGATATTTTACAGGGGTTTAAAATTTTTAATAATTTAAAAAATAATAATAAATAAAAAAAATAATAAAAATAATAATTTCTAAAAAATTTTAAATCCCTGTAAAATATTAACATGATATCACCATGATATCACCGTGATATGACTGTGATATCACCTTGATGTCACCTCGATGTCACCGTGTGATATCACCGTAAGGCGGACATTTTCCTGATGTCACGGTGACATACCTCGGTGATATCACCGTGACATCTGGTTGATATATCGTGCAACTTGGGTATATGTATTAAGTATTTTAAACATATAAAAAACAAAGTAAATAATTCTCCTTTATTATACCGTAAGAAAATTGTTATGAAAAATTATTTTTTTAATAAATTTGAAAAATAAAATTAATTTTAAATAAAATATTTAAAACATAACGAAAAAACTTACTTGTGAACATCATTTTGATGCAGCAATATAGATACGACTATATTGAAGACTTCAATTTATTTAACAGTTTGAGACTGATATAATTTGCTAGTTGTTAGTTGGATATATATACACCTAGGTACAGTAAAATATTGTGAAATATTTATTGTATGTAAATAAAATTAACTTATTAAACTTATAAAAGGAAAAATTATTTCTTTAATATGTAAATAATAAACTTTAATCTAATGTACATATAGTATACAGAAGATCCGGAAGAGTTTTCAGTAACATTAACAAATTTTGTATTAATAATGATAGCGATAAAGTAATTATATACATAACTAATCTTAAAACCAATGTCAAAATAGAAATTACTTACACGTGTAATTTATATATTTAAATTTTTTTCGAAATTTTAAGAATTGTTACACATGTAACTATACGCGTGTAATCCATACCATACTGTGAGTTTTAATGATAAAAGGTCGTTTTTTTCAATTGACGTACTGATCGATTTTTTTAAAATGTTTTCAAAAAAGTACTTCTTTTTACGAAATTTTTAAGCCTAGCCCGGTAATGGGCAAACAATTTTTACAATATTTTTGGAATTTTTCAAAATTCTTTGAATTTAAATTTTTTAAAAATATTTTTGGTTTTTTTATACTACGTACTTTTATGTATATGTTAATGAGCTGATTACGAAAATCATAATGACAATACCCGAAAATTTAATTTTTATTATAAAAACCATAAAAAAGTGCTAAAATTGTTTTTTTCGTTTATTAGGTAAAATATGCAAAATTAAAAAAAAATGCAAAAGATGTAAAAAATGTAATTTAATACGATATATAACTTTTGTCTAAAAGTTTTTTTTTTAATTTTACATATTTTACCTAATAAACGAAAAGTACCATAAATTTTAGAACTTTTTTATGGTTTTCACCATAAAAATCAAATTTTCGGGTATTGTCATTATGATTTTCGTAATCAGCTCATTAACATATACATAAAAGTACGTAGTATAAAAAAACCAAAAATATTTTTAAAAAACTTAAATTCAAAGAATTTTGAAAAATTCCAAAAATATTGTAAAAATCGTTTGCCCATTACCGGGCTAGGCTTAAAAGTTTCGTAAAAAGAAGTTCTTTTTTTGAAAAAATTTAAAAAAAAATCGATCAGTACTTCAATTGAGAAAAATGACTTTTTATCATTAAAACTCAAAAATTTGATAGTAATATCGGTTAAAAAAAAATTTTGATCTGTTTTTTTTGAATAATACGTTTAAAAACACACATTTAAAAAAAAAAACTTTTTTAAAATTGATGCATTTTTAAGAAAGTTATGAGCTTTCAAAAATTAAAAGTGATGAAAATTCTCCAATTTTCAAAATTCCATAACTCGAAGATGCCTTGGTAAAAAATTTTTAAAAATTTATGAAAGCTAGTCTCAATTAGTAATAAAAGAAAAAAAAATTGAAGATGCAATTATATATATATATATATATATATATAAACTTAATAAAACTTTCTAAAAAGTATCAAAAGCATCGATTACACATGTAATTGATGTATTCCATGCCGTCAAAGTCCATCTGCAATTGCATCTTCAATTTTTTTTTCTTTTAGTACTAATTGAGACTAGCTTTCATAAATTTTTAAAATTTTTTTACCAAGGCATCTTCGAGTTATGGAATTTTGAAAATTGGAGAATTTTCATCACTTTTAATGATGATATATATATATATATATATATGTTACGGGCAATGTGCGGGAGGCGGGCAATGTCCGAGAATGCCCGGGCATTGTCGACATTGCCCTGTTTTTTTCGGTCAATGTCGAAAATTATTTATAAAATTCTGTTTTCTGGGCAATGTCGACAATGCCCAGTCCATTTTGGGCAATGTTGAAATGCATAAAATTTTTTAATAAAAAATAATTTGTAATATAAGTAAATATTTCATCACTTGTTAAAACTGAATAATTGAATAATATAATCAATTTAACGCTGTTTACTAAATTTATTTTTATACGAAGGTTTGATTGAGTGATAGCACTTTTTAAAAAAATTCAATTGAACGTCTTCTTATGAAAATATCTATTACGGCGTTGGATAAAAATAAAAGTTCAATGCATTTCTTAAAAGGTGATGAAAAAACAAAACTTTTAAGAACTTCTTCAATGATGTGCCTCTAATTGTATTCCTGTGGCAACAATTTAAAGATGATAATAAAAATCGTGATTTCATTTAAATTTATACATTTTTGAAAGGCACAACTGCATTTTTGCTTTAAATAGGTCAATCTATGGTGTGATCGAAACATTTTCATACATATATTTGAACACAAAAACGCCGCTTAAGGATTTTGAGTGAAATAAATTTTATTAAGTTAAGAATATGGTGAAAAAACTTTTTTGGAGTCTTTACCCCCTCTTTTCTCAAAATTCTGACGTGCTAAGCTAATTTGGGTGCCAGAATCGTGTTCAGAGGACGAAAATACTTTGGAAACCACTCCGATATCAAAAATAAAAAAGTTGAATTTTTCAATTTTATATGTAATTTATTAACATTAAAGAGTTTAAAGAGTTAAACATTGACGGCGTGAGCTAAAAATGAATCACGCATATGAATTTGTGACATCAATGTGGCTGCAAATTAAAAAAAGAAATTTTTTTTTCTTGAAAGTTAAAAGTTTCGTGGATTTCCCAAATATATACATAATGACTTAAAAACCAATGTTAAAATAAAAATAATCATTCAAAGAAAAAATATATTAGATAAATTTAATAGTGTATAGTATATTATATATTACTAAATTACACAGTAATGTAATAATTTTTCTTATGAAGCCGTTTAAGAGATATGACATTTTGAATTTTCCCATTTAATTTCAGATTCGTAATAAGCATTCCGAAACTCCCAATTGACTAATTTCAATTTGTTTTGTTGATTTTTTTATTTATAAATATTTATTATAAAAACATTGTTTTATTTTATAATGAAAATATTTTTTTATTATCTTATTTTTTTGTAAATTAAATATTTTTTGAAGAATAGTCATTTGCGTACTCTTATAGGCAGGTCATGCCTAAGAGTACCTAACCCGAGGCGAAATTTGAATCCTCTTTAGCTTCCCTTAGAACCTAAATAGGCCCTCTTTACGATCTTGTAGACTCCCGTAGGCCCTCCTTTGAATCCAAACGTGGAAGAAAGGTAAATTTGCGACTGGTTGAGGAAGCTAAAGAGGGTCTAGTTCGATTAAAAAAGTACAAAAAAATGCAAAAAAAAAACTCTTTTAATTATTTTGATTAAAGCAAAATGAATTTTTTCTTCACACAATATTTCTTTAATTACCCTTTAAAAACTGGAATTAATATATTTTGAAGCGTTTTCAAAAAATTAATAGAATTAGAGCAATTTCAAAATTTTCAATATTTTAATCAATTTTTATACCCTACTTTGAATCCAAACGTGGAAGAAAGGGAAATTTGCGACTAGTTGAGGAAGCTAAAGAGGGTCTGTTTAACCCTACTTTACTCCTTGTAAATTAGGGCTTAAATTTCGCCTCGGGTACGCATGCTCTCGAGTTTTAAAGAGAATCAACGAACATTCATGAATAAATAAAGACAAAAATATTTTTTTATATTATTATTTGTCTTATATTATCAATTTATGTATATTAAATATATTATTATTTTTTTTATTTAGTCAAATATTTTAATTCTACACAAAATAATACATTTAATTAAATGTAAATGTATTTAAAGAAATATATAAATTTTATATTAATATCACAATTTTTGAAGTTTTTTGTTAATAAATTGTAATTCTATTTTTATTTTATTAAAATGTTAAATAGTAATATTGTTTGTACAAACTTAAATTTATAATTTTATACATTTAATGTGTTCGTTTTTTGGCCTGGCAGACATATTTAATATTCGTATATTCTCTAAATTACTGTATATATTTACAATTACCAGCAAACAATGCAATACCATCATGTTCACCAACTGTTCTAATAATCTTATAATGAAATGCATGATTAGCAAGAAATTGTTGAGTTATATGCTCTCCCATCATTCCGTTGGTTAAAAATCCACCTGTAAAAAAAATACCACAAAAAATTAATTTTTCTTTCACTTTTAATGTATAATTAAGGATTGTAATTATTACATTAAATTAAAAAAAATCCACTTGGAAAGATTCCCCAGAAAGTGCCCCCTGGAGGTTCTATTAGAATTCCATCGGAATTCCAAAGAATTTCCGATGGGATTCTGACGGAATTCCGTCTCTAAAAATTTTGAAAAAAATTAATCGGAATTCCGTCGGAATCCCATCGGAAATTCTTTAAAACTCCGATGGAATTCCGACGGAATTACGTTGGAAGTTCCGGCGGAATTCTGATAGAACCTCCAGGGGGCACTTTCCGGGGAATCTTTCCAAGTGGGAAAAAAGATTTACTTGTAGTTGCAGCATCTTCAACACCATTCTCGTTGACTTCAATGACAATTTTTTGCTTAATTTTACTCACATAAAGATTTCTATCTGTAATTCCCCTGAAGTTTGCGTGAGACATAAACATTTGATTTATACCCATCTATATTATATATGTGGAAATAAATTTTTTAGTTTAGTATTTAAAAAAATGAAAATCAGAAAAAAATAATCTTGGAGCCATGTCAAAAAATTGATAATTATTTTAAATTAACACTAAATTGCAGCAAATTTTGTAACCGACAGATTTTAGCATGAAAAATTAATCAATCTATCCGTTCATTTACAAAAAAGAATAATTGGATAAATTTTTTCGCGCCAAAATATATAGGTTACAAAATGTGTTGCGAATTAGGGTAAATTTAAAATAATTTTTACAAGCTCACTTAAAATATGACCAACCTCTTTTAAAGTATCATTTAAGTCATTGGTAATTTCAACATGAAATTTAGGCAAAGCCAATGCGACTTCAGTAAGAGATAGTTCCTTTCGGAGTTTTCTAAGGGTTATTGTCTCTAAACTTTTTTCAACATTGTCGAGACCATGAACTTCATCAGGAAGTACGATAAGCATACTAAGTTCGTCACCCTGTAAAAGAAAAAAGGTCAATCTTAATCTTATCCAACATCCTAATACGAAATGATTCCTTTCTAATTAAAATTTTTATGCGGACTAATTGTTGATCTTTTACAATTTTAATTCCTGATTGTTTTGGACTCATTTCTAATTAGGATTTTTTTTTATCATATTAAATACAACTAAATTCAATTCTGGACTGTTCTTGGATTTGTGGCTTTTCGTTCTGATATTAATAATTCAATAACCAGGGTTTTACTGAATTTATTTGCTCTCTAAATCTGAATAAGTGAAATTTCACTTAAAATGTGTCAAAAGTCTTCCACGTAGAAAAATAAGTGTATATGTACTTAAAAATAAGTGAAACTTCACTTATTTTTGAGTGAAAACCACTTATTTAAAAGTGCATATACACTTATTTTTCTACGTGGAAGACTTTTGACACATTTTAAGTGAAATTTCACTTATTCAGATTTAGAGAGTGCTCTTTACTTTTTCTGAATTTAGCATAAAAATTTAATATAGATCATAATAATTTTTGTCACAAAATTTTGTTTTTTCTCATTTTGAAATAGCACCATATTAAACTTTAGTGTATAAAAAATTCTAATATTTGAAACACAAAGTCTATCAGTGTATTTACACTGAAAAAAAACTTGTAGGTTTTACTACTTTTTAACTACTCTGAATAGTACAATAGGTCCTCAACTGAATTTAAATGGTTCTATTAACTATATAAAAATAGTTAAACCAATTAAAAATGTAATTGGTAGAATGACATTTTGTGATTGTATTAACTCAATTTAAAAATGTTAAAACAACTTAAGATGTAAGTAGTAGATTTTACTACTTAAAGTAGTTCAATAGGCTTTAAGAACATTTTTTTGTAGAATTAATAAATCTTTTGCAATTAAAACTACTACTTTAAGTAGTAAAATTTACTACTTAAAAGAGGAAAATAAAATTATTTTTTATTTATAATTGTTTATTATCAGTAGAATTGACTTTCTCATCCTCTCTCCTATACTGACTTATTTTTTATTTCTTATACTGGCTTATTTAATGCCCTAACGATTATGTACCTAACACAGAAAATTTCTAACGGACGGGAATTGAACCCTCGACCCTAACGCTCGCTATCCGATACCTTAACCGACTAACCACGCACGCTCGCTACGACAGTCTGCAAACTACTCGAAGACTACTTTCTGCTTGTCCAATTGGTAATTTAACTATTTAAAGTAGTCATTTTTACTACTTTTATTAGTTGCTATAACTATCCTTTTTAAGTTTTGACTTGTAAATTTTTCATCTTTTAATTATATTATAAGTTGTTTAATTGCATAGTGCAGTAAAATCTACTACTTAAAGTGATAGTTTTAATTGCAAATGATTTTTTAATTCTACGACATAAATGTTCTTAAAGTTTTAATCACAAAGAATTTGTTAATTCTACAACAAAAATGTTCTTAAAGCCTATTGTACCACTTTGAGTAGTAAAATCTACTACTTAAAGTAGTAGTTTTAACTGGAAACGATTTCTAAATTCTACATCAAAAATCTTCTTTAAGTTTATCGAATTAATTAAAATAGTAAAAATCTACTACTTAAAGTAGTAGTTTTAATTACAGACGACTTGTTAATTCTACAACAAGAACATTATTGAAGCCTATATAAAATCATAGAAATTAATAAAAAATTGACTACTCAAAAAGCAGTTATATTAATTAAAGAAAATAATTCCTTTTACTACATTTCATATAACTGGTGAATAGTAGTTGGATTTACTACTCTTCAAATTTTGAGTTGACTACAATTCCACTTGTTTTTAATACCTTAAGAAAGTTAATTTTACTACCGTCCTGTAATTGTACTTTAACTACATATTTACGTAAAATCAACTATTACTTATTAACTTCTCAAAAATAGTTACATTAACTACATCAACATGATTAGATTAACTAAAACAGTAGTTATTTTAACTACTTTCTAGTCAACTACCGAATGGTAGTTAAATTTCTTGGCAACATTTTTTTCAGTGTATAAGTTTATCATTTTGGATAGTGATATAGAAAGAGAATATATAGAGAATCTCACCTTGTATGACAATTCTATGACTTTGGCTTTTATATGAGGCAAATGGGCATATTTAAATTGAGCTTTTCGATACATAGTATTAGACACTAAAATAGTCTGATTGTCATAGTTTATAAAATGAAAACTAAAAGGATTGGAAAATTTATATTTCCATTCGCCTTTAAAATAAACGATATTAGTGATAACCATGGCAGTATCTGTATTTAAATCATCTGAAAAAAGAGAATCCTGTCTAAATTCCTTTCTTTAAAAAAAATACATGACATAAAGGAGTAATAAATATAAAAGTAATATATAAAAGTAAAGTAAATTATTTTGAATATTAATATCATTATATGTAAAAATATACATATATTATCTAAATAACTTCTGTGCTCTCATCTTAAATTTCAACAACTGTAAAAATAAACTTTTTTTCGTGAAACTCAAATTAAAAATTAAAATTTAGTCAAATACACATTGTTAAAAGAAAGGAAATAATCTAGAAGTTTTTTCTATTCATTCCCAACCAAAAATTTCAGTATTATACCAGAGTTGACTACTGGCGTAATACTGGTTCAGTATTGGCTGCCGAGACTGGGCAGTCTGTACTAAACCAGTATTGGTATTTTCATTGTATCAGTACTGTTGCAGTACCACCCTCCCAGTACTAGCAAATCAGTACTGAGCCGATATTGAGCCAGTACTGGCTCAAATAGATTTTCTTTTTGATTAATACTAGTTTACAAAAAGTTCTAGAGTGAACCTAATAAATCTTTATGTTTAAATATTTTGTTTATAAAAATTTTTGCTCCTTGATTTTATTCTTCAAAATTAAGATGTATTTTATTTTGCTTTTCTGTGTGTAAAATTACTTAAACAAAAAGTTTCCTGAGATCAATTCCAAAACATTTTGCAAGATTTTCTTATTGTTTTCAGATATGCAATATAAACCAAAAAAATTTTTAAACGATCAAACTAAAAATAAATAAATTTGTTTATAAATGATTAATATTTTTTAAAATAAAAATTTAAACAAATTTTCTTGACAACACTTGTTATAAATCAAAAAACAACTTTTATTTTCTTAAAAATGTTTTTCAAAAATTCATTTTCATGCAAATATATATGTGAATAAAAATAGATATTATACTTTTGAAAAAAACTTAAATTTAAAAATTTGTACCCGAAAATTTATAAACCTACAAAAAATTACGTATACTTTTTTTCTCAAAACTTTGGTTTTATAATGAATATATTTTTATATTTATTTTTTTGATTCTTTTAAATAATAATTTGCAATATATATTATAATAAGGAATAAAAATTCTTGGTGTTTTCGATTTTATATAATAAAATATTAATTAGTTAGTTGACTAATTTAATTAATATTTAATTTGTGTTGGGTTACTAAAAATGTCAGACACTTTTTCCTAAGTATACCAAAAAAGTATTACCTGGAGTGAAACTTATCTCTGTTACAGTTAAAGCTTTCTTTTCGTATACAATAAATTACAAAACTACCAGTACTCAGCCATTACTGAACCAGTAGTGGTTACCAGTACTGGTGCCAACTCTAGCAGCCAATACTGGTAAAATGTTATCATCCTAAAGTTACGCCAGCTCTGGCGCCAATAGTAAAGTAAATATGTACACAACAGCTTAAAAAGCCAGGGCCAAAATAAAAAAAAAACCTATATTAGTATAGATAAAAATATTCTTTATCAATTTTTTAATTGATAAAATTAACATCATGTTTTTATTGTGATTTCACATCTGTAAATATATTGCAATGTGGTAGTCGAAAAAATTCTAAAACCACATTAAATTTATATTCAATTTATATCTCTGAGATTTTCAATGTCTCTGATTTTGATAAATCTGACATGTATTATATTAACAAAAATTTTAAATGATGTAGGTATCCAATAAGAATTTTTTTTAAGAAACTCATTCATGAGTTTCTTAAAAAAAAACATCATTTTAAATTTTTGTTAATATAATACATGTCAGATTTATCAAAATCAGAGACATTGAAAATCTCAGAGATATAAATTGAATATAAATTTAATGTGGTTTTAGAATTTTTTCGACTACCATATTGCAATATATTTACAGATGTGAAATCACAATAAAAACATGATGTTAATTTTATCAATTAAAAAATTGATAAAGAATATTTTTATCTATACTAATATAGGTTTTTTTTTTATTTTGGCCCTGGCTTTTTAAGCTGTTGTGTACATATTTACTTTACTATTATTATTATTATTAATACAGAATTTAAAATTGTCACCTATAAACACGTCCTATTCTTTTATATAATATATGTACATGAAAAATTTTTAATTTCAATAATTTCAATGTTAAAATAAATTAAAAAATATGTAATAACATAATTTTCCTAATTTTCCAATCTGTTTCTAAAAATCAAAATTTGGAGAATATTCATAAATGTTTTATTTTATTTTTCCGCAAATTATTGAAGGCATAATAATTGAAAACAAATTTCTTATGGTATAATAAAGGGGATCTCATTAAGACATAAATATAGCGCGTATCACATATTTTAATATTTCCATCAGATTCTAATTCTAAATGTGTGTTTTTTTTGTTTGTTTTAGATTTTCGTCGTATTTTCTAATTACTAGTTGTATTTATACAGTAATTGCTTTTGGTCACCATAAAAAATTTTGGTGCTCTAAAATTAGGTGTATTCAGTGTTGCTAATTACAAATCTAATAATAAATTTTACTTTAAAAACGGTCAAATAACAAGTTTTAAACAAATCGGGTCAATTAAAAATTTTTTAATACTAGAGTAAGTGCATCAGTTATGGCGCATTCATAAAAAATAATTAATATTACTATTATATTTAATATAACTGCTGCAAAATGATTAAAAAAAATTATTAAAATTAAATTAAATTATTATTATTAAAAATTAATCTTTTTTTTTTGATACAATTACTTATAAAAATGCAGATTTAAACAATTATTAATTTAATTATTTGAGATGAAATTTTTTCCCTCGCCGTAATTGAAACATTTTTAAAATTTTCATTGGCTCCATTTACGGTGGGTAAAGTATCATTAAAATACACCGTAATTTTGGTCATCGTAATTGATACACCGATACTGATACAAATGCGCCGTAATAGAAAATTACGATATTATTTTTAATTTCTTATATTTGTTTAAATAATCGAGTTTTTGAAGTTAAATTTTTTTTAATATGTAAATAACAGAACCTTTTAGTTTAATAAGTTTTAAATTGACTTTATACAATAGAAATGTTGAATTTTCTATTTCAAAGGTGTTTTGACTCGAATCGCGCTGTAATTAGTGCGTTTCTCCAAATAAAAAAATATAAATAAAATCTAATAAATTTAAAAGAAAATTGAAAAAAAATGTTTGCAGTCAAAACAACATACTGATGATTGCGATGAAAATGCGAGCAGTCGAAAAATTGCGACTACTCAGATTCCAGAAGTGCTATTTTCCGAGTGTTCGCAATTTCCGGTTAGACAATTTAAATTACATTCCCCCACCCTAAAAATGAGTACTTTTTATATTTTAACTGAAGTTTCAGTTATTTTTTGAAATTTACTAATATAGGGTAACTGCACCAGTGGTGGATCAATTAAGCCTACTAAATTTATTATTTTGACTTTAAAGGTGTACAGATTTTTTCAGATGAAAAATATAGGGTAATCTTTACAATAGTATGAATTAACAAATCTTCAAGGACACTATCGTGTAGTTTTCGACCTGCTTGTAACGTTTACACCCCCTCACACCCACATTCAACAATAAAATGACATTGCTCCAGTCGTGGATCATTTACCCCTTTACACTACACAAAAATAACTTAATGATGTAAATTTTTTTCCAAAAGTATTCTATATGGAAAGAATTGATTACTTTCTACTCGAAAAATTAAAAAAATTTAGACTAAACAATTATTTTTTAAGATTTCATGTGAAAAAGCATAAAATCAACTATTGTTGTATTGCTTTGTTTTCCTAAATATTTTCAAATGATTTTATTTCATAAAACTTATCTATACACCTCCCCTAAATGATTGAAACATTTAGTTCAATTAGAAATAGCTTATTTTAACCTTTTTAACGCTGTTGATCCACCATTGGTGCCTGATCCACCACTGGTGCATTTACCCTAATTAGTCAATATGCAAGCAATAGAAAATAACTTATGTAAATCAGTAATTTGTATATATAACATAACCTTTAAAATTAACTATTAAATCAGTAGATTTTGTGGCCGCCGCCATATATTTATATTACTGATTCAATCAGTAATATTGATATTTTACTAATTGAATCAGTAAATTTCTACTAATTAATAGTCACAGGGTTTAATGATTTATGGTATGGCCAAAAAAAGGGTCAGCTCCGACCCTCATAAAAAATCTGACTACTATTGACGATTCTCTGACTAAACCTCACTTATTGTAGTGTTCTGTGACTGCAATCGTAACAAAAACAGTTTCAAAACGTCAGAGATCCTGACTAATTTTTTGACGTTCTGTGATTTTATTTTTAGCAGGGATGTTAATAATTTTTTTCAAATTACTATCTTGTACGAAATTTCCTGGCGCATCTTTTTTCTCATCATAAATTTTTTGTATTTGTATACAATTTTTTAATCAATATACAACTTTAAAAGAAATTTCGTTGGTAAACGTTGTGTACTTCATCTGCGTGAATTGAATTTTCGAATTTGGAATTTTAAATAAACTTATTCCAAAATTTGGAAACACAATTATACAACTTTGGCAAAAATGAGAAAAAGAATTGTCAAAATTTGACACGTCATAAGATTACTATTCAAAAAAACACGTGAAATCAGAAAAGGCCAACTTCAAGTTAAGACAGAAGGACAGACCAAGCATTTTATTATTATATAATTTTCATTTTATAGAATTTTATTAGATAGATTTTTAATTTATTCGAATTTGTGTTTTTCGAATTAATGTTTAATAGAATTTAAATTAACTAGAATTTATTCATCACAGAATTTCTATGTAGGGTAACGGCACCAGTGAAAGAACATTTAAGGAAATGCATACTTTTATCATTTATTATTTTTGAATGCAGTTATTGAAAATTTTTTTACCAATTTTTTTTCGATAGCTTATTAAGTGTAGAATGCGAAGGTCATATTTAATTTTCATAAATATAAGATGTTAATTAAAATTTTAATTAATAAGTAAAACATACCTATTTCACCAGTGAAAGAACAAATTGTCTAATGAAAGAATTTTCTGCATCCAGTGAAAGAACGATGTGAAATATATATTTAAAATATATTTAAAAAATATATTAATAAAACAAAGATAAAGTAATAAAATGTTTGTAATATACTAAAATAAAGGTAAATTAATGATAATTATGAATATTTTTTAACTAAGTTTGCAGAATCTTATTTTTAATTGAAAATGCATTTATAACCTACAATCAATCATCTACTTGCAATTTATTTTGACAATATTATTGTAACCTAACAGTGTTAACCTATTTGATTTTGTCATTTTTTTGTTTGACTTCAGACTATTCGTTGAAGGTGTTCCTTCATTGGATTGCATTGGAACCAGTGAAAAAACATTTCTGTTCTTTCACTAGTAAATAAAAAAAAAAACCCCCAATGACGGAATTTGCTTTTCTTATGGCAAATTAATATTTTATTAGCTTTTAAATGAAAAGAAGTATTTCTAATACACAAGATAAATTTAGTTTAAAGAAGACCGACGATTTAAGGCAGTTTAAATTAGTTAAATGTGAAAAAAGAAATAACGTGTCAGAGAAGAGTTCTTATTGTTGAAGATAAATTTGCAACACAACATTTTTAAAAATTTTTTTTTATAAAATTTACGTGTTAACTCTCTAGGTATCTTAGATACTAAAGACGTAAATTAAATAAGGAACATAAAAATATATAATTTATAATACCAAATTGCTTATTACACTAATTAGAATGCAAAACATGAAATTTGTTCTTTCACTGGTGTCAGTTCCTTCACTGGTGCCGTTACCCTAATCAAATTTTTATTTAACAAAAATTCTTTCAACATAATTTCCATTTAGCACACTTTTTATTCAAAAGAATTTTTCTTAACACAAATTTTTATTTATCAGAATTCTTATTAAACAGAATTTTGCTTGAATCAAATTTTTAAATACCACAATTTTTATTAAACCAAATTTTCATTTGTCCGAATTTTTATTAACACAAAATGTCATTTAATAGAAATCTTAAAACATAGAATTTTTATTTATTCAACATTGCAAATGGTCGAATAACGGCAGAAATATTTCGGCGCCAATTTTAGAATTGACCAATCAAAAACTGTCAAGAAAATTGTGATTGATCAAATTGGCGCCAAAATATTTCTGCCGTTTGATTATTCGACCATTTGCAATGTAGAATAAATAAAAATTCTAAGTTTTAAGATTTCTATTAAATGACATTTTATGTTAATAAAAATTCGGACAAATGAAAATTTGGTTTAATAAAAATTGTGGTATTTAAAAATTTGATTCAGGCAAAATTCTGTTTAATAAGAATTCTGATAAATAAAAATTCGTGTTGAGAAAAATTCTTTTTTCGCCATTGACATGAAAAAGTATCTTTTTTGTGCCTGTTTTGGACAGATAAAGTAGCACTTTTTAAGGCAGTTGTTAATTTTTGCATAATTTTTGTTTTGCTTTTATTTTATTTATCAATTTTTATTATTTTATTTTATATACTATTTCATATATATTATATATGGGACGTTTCATGTCAACCGGCCCAAAGCTATGTCCAAAATTCTATGCAATAAAAATAAACATGTAACACATGAAAATACTAGTAAACTCATCCACTTTCAATTGCAAAGTGGCAGAATTGAAAATTCAAAATGGCGTCCTTACTATGTCAAGTGGAAGCGGCTAACTTCAGAAATAAGTAAATATATTTATTACTTTTTTTAGAAAATTATGCAAAAATTTTAGGTCACCACATATTTTAATGTTTTCGAGGTCGCTGATTACGAATCTGAAGTCAGTTTTTCAAAATTCAAAATGGCGGATTCAATATGCGGATTATTTTTTAAAAATAATTGAATTTGCTTGAAACTTGTTACTCGGGGGTTTTCGAAGTCGCTGATTACGAATCTGAAGTCAGTTTTTCAAAATTAAAAATGGCGGATCCAATATGTCGGATTATTTTTTAAAAATTCATTGAATCTGATTGAAACTTGTTACTCGGGGGTTTCCGAGGTCGCTGATTACGAATCTGAAGTCAGTTTTTTAAAATTAAAAGGGCGGATCCAATATGGCGGATTTTTTAAAAAAATTCATTGAATTTGATTGAAACTTGTTACTCGGGGGTTTCCGAGGTCGCTGATTACGAATCTGAAGTCAGTTTTTCAAAATTCAAAATGGCAAATCCAATATAATTACTTTGTGGCCTTTAAAAAGGACGATTGTTATAATTATGAACTGTAAGAATTTGGTAGCCTTGAAAAAGGCTGATTGTTTTAATTTTTAAACCATAATTTTTTGGTGGCCTTAAAAAAGGCCGTTTGAATTAAATTTACAAAATACATCCAAACCAATGTAATTATATTTTAATATTGCATAACTGCAATAAGATGAGGTGCATTTGAATATTTGAATATTTTTAATTGTTCTTCTGATGTTACAATAAAAGAATGAGCAGATTGAATTTTTGTAACACTAGGTGCTCTAGAAAATCTACTAGCAAGTTTTCGTTTCACTCACTCGTGTTGTTGCTTGTTGTAAAAGAAAATCTGCGAAGTCTTGATATTTTGCTTAGCCCATTGGTAAAGAGTCTCTGCATTTAAAATGGCTCCTATGCCATCACATGATCCTTTACAGTTGACACACTGAGGGTTTAATAAAAACATTTGAACATCGTGAAAAAAATGACAATCGCTAAAACATATCTTACGTAGTCTGAATAAGCTCTTTTATAATTTAGATATCGTCCATGTTTTTACGATGCTCATATGTTGTTACTACTTACATGAACATTCATGAAAATAAATTATTATTACAGCCGCATTTAAAAAGTTACTAAAACTCAGTTAATCAGTTAATAATGAAATGCACTGAATCAGCCACATTATTTGATTATTCGTTTTCTTCCTTTCGATTTATACAGTTTCTTTGACTCGCAACAAGGTGAATAATTTTATCTACAAATATTGTACCTAATTTCCTTCTAAATCATAGCAGAGGGTAAAGAAAAATTAAGGAAAAGTTGTGTTTGAGGAAGACTTCAGGCATCTCAGAACGCTAGGACTTCAGATTCATAATCAGCGACCTCCAAAACCCCTAAGTAAAAAGTTTCAATCAATTTCAATCAATTTGTAAAAATTCGTCCGTCATATTAAATCCGCCATTCTGAATTTTGAAAAACTGACTTCAGATTCGTAATCAGCGACCTCGAAAACCCCCGTGTAACAAGTTTCAATCAAATTCAATGAATTTTTAAAAAATAATCCGCCATTTTTAATTTTGAAAAACTGACTTTAGATTTGTAATGAGCGACCTCGAAAATCCCTGAGTAACAAGTTTCAATCAAATTCAATGAATTTTTAACCTAAATACCTATTATAATTTCGACAAAGGGTATAGGGGGTTAAGGATACAAAAAGTGCCGTTGCAGGTATTCTGTTCAAATTGACACCATATATTGCTACCCCTATGAATATAAAATTCTGCAAGTATGAACCCATAATTCGAATTTTTGGGGGAGTTATGGTGGGGGAAAGGAAAATAAAGAAATCCATTTTTCTCGAAAACTACTGAACCGATTTTAATGAGCTTTGAATATGTTATACATGTCGCTAAGACAATTCTAAAACAAAAATCTCAAAATTTTTTTTTGAAAAAAAGTCAAAAAAAATTAATTTTGAAATTTTCAAAAATTTTTTTTGGGGTGATTTTTTGAAGTGACCACTTTACTTTTTTTTAAAAAAGTTACCTTATAATATCCCCTTTAACATATATTTTTTTCAGATTTTTAAAAAATGTAGTTTTTGAATAATTTAACGAAAACCATCGTCGCGCTACATGACGCAGCGCGCACAGTGTGCTGATGCAGTATACGGGTGTTCCAAAAGTATGGAAACTTTCAAATATCTCGAAAAGTACGAATTTTTGTAAAAAATGTTCAAGACAAAAGTTGTTCCAAACAAAAAGATGTACATCTTTGAAACCAAAAAATTGGGCCCGGAGCCCAATGTTGGGCCCTACAATGAAAGAAGTGGTTTTCTTAAATAAGACCACTAATTTTCAGTATCAAATTCGTAATCCCCATGAAATTCTGCGTTCAGACATGTGGTAAAAGTGCCCAAAATATTGGGCCCAATCCAAGATATTGGGTCCAAAATTTATCAACAGATAAATAAATTTTAGAAAATCGCATCTTGGAGGGATTTTGAGATCACAGGATTAGAAATTGGAAGCTAATTTTTAAATTGGGAATAGAGCCCAATGTAAGATTCCGCCGCCCAATGTGAGGCCCACAGTAAAAAAAATTAGTTGTCTTGAATAAAACCTATTAATTTTCAGTATCCAATTCGTAATCCCCATGAATTTCTTGGGTTAGACTTGTAGTAAAAATGACAAAAATATTGGGCCCAATGTCTGGGATTAGGCCCAACATTTTTCGTTAAATAAATAAATTTAAAAAATCGCATCTTTAAGAGTTTTTGGGGTCATAGGATTAGAGATTCGAAGATAATTTTCAAATTGTACACAAAGCCCAATGTAAGATTCCGCGGCCCAATGTGAGACCCACCTTAAAAAAATTAGTTGTTTAAATAAAACCCACTAATTTTCAGTATCCATTTCAGAATCGTTATGAAATTCTGGGTTTAAACTTGTAGTACAAAAGCCAAAAAATATTGGGCCCAATGTCTGGGATTAGGCCCAACATTTTTCGTTAAATAAATAAATTTATAAAATCGCATCTTTTGTAGTTTTTGGGGTCACAGGATTAAAAATTCAAAGCTACTTTTCAAATTTGGCACAGAGCCCAATGTAAGATTTCGCAGCCCAATGTGAGGCAGAAAAAAAATTAGTTTTCTTCTATTTCGTAATCGTTATGAAATTCTGGGCTTAGACTTGTGGTACAAATTCCAAAAATATTGGGCCCTCACATTGGGCTGCAGAATCTTACATCGGGCTCTATGCTCAATTTCTAATCCTGTGATCTCAAAATCCCTCCAAGATGCGATTTTTTAAAATTTATTTATCTGTTGATAAATTTTGGACCCAATATCTTGGATTGGGCCCAATATTTTGGGCACTTTTACCACATGTCTGAACGCAGAATTTCATGGGGATTACGAATTTGATACTAGTGAATTAGTGGTCTTATTTAAGAAAACCACTTCTTTCATTGTAGGGCCTAACATTGGGCTCCGGGCCCAATTTTTTGGTTTCAAAGATGTACATCTTTTTGTTTGGAACAACTTTTGTCTTGAACATTTTTTACAAAAATTCGTACTTTTCGAGATATTTGAAAGTTTCCATACTTTTGGAACACCCGTATACTGCATCAGCACACTGTGCGCGCTGCGTCATGTAGCGCGACGATGGTTTTCGTTAAATTATTCAAAAACTACATTTTTTAAAAATCTGAAAAAAATATATGTTAAAGGGGATATTATAAGGTAACTTTTTAAAAAAAAAAGTAAAGTGGTCACTTCAAAAAATCACCCCAAAAAAAATTTTTGAAAATTTCAAAATTAATTTTTTTTGACTTTTTTTCAAAAAAAAATTTTGAGATTTTTTTCTTAGAATTGTCTTAGCGACATGTATAACATATTCAAAGCTCATTAAAATCGGTTCAGTAGTTTTCGAGAAAAATGGATTTCTTTATTTTCCTTTCCCCCACCATAACTCCCCCAAAAATTCGAATTATGGGTTCATACTTGCAGAATTTTATATTCATAGGGGTAGCAATATATGGTGTCAATTTGAACAGAATACCTGCAACGGCACTTTTTGTATCCTTAACCCCCTATACCCTTTACTTTATTATTACAAAAAAATATGAGTTGGGAAGCAACAGACAGTGCTACATTGTTTGAACGATTTTCAGTTTTGTTTCAAAAAGAAGAGCCATTAATTCATATTTTGTTTGATAAAATTCAGCAGCTGTTAGTCACGTTAGCAGGTCGTATTTGCAAAGATACAAGTATTGAGAGTTTCAAACAAAACACTTTGAAAACAGAAGAACTCCTTGAATCGCCGAATTTGATGGATGTAGAGTCAATCATTCTCAAACGAAATCATGCATGAAGGATTTAAGTGAAAAAGAAAAATTGATATTTCGAAAAAATGTGAGAAATAATTACAAAGCGGCAGCGAAACATATTTTGTCTAAATCATCTTTGCAAGCTTATCCACATTCTAGTCTTTTGTACAACATGAGGTGCTTACAACCTTCTAGGATTCGAAAAAGCAGCAGCGTTACCGCTATAGTAAATATATTAGGAAAATTGGAAGTATCTTTAAAGTGTAACGATTTAGCAGGTGCTCATGCAGCAAAAGAAATGTTAACAAGTGTTGAAAAATTAAAAAAAGAACAGAAGCAAAAAGAAGTTTATATTAACGATTTAACTAAAGAAATTGAAACAAAGCGTCGTCGAGTTGTTAATGATTTAATAAGAAACAAACAAAAAAATCTGATGAGGTACAAAAACCAAAAGATACGTCAAGAAAAAGGAAAAACCCCGAGAAAAACACTGGTACCAAAAATGATTCGTCGTCAAAAAAATTGAAAACCAGAAACTCTCAGCGTAAAATAGATGTCAGTAAAAATTCTAAGACTGAAAATAAATCTAAAAAAATTGAAAGTATTAAAACATCGGACATCACACCAAAAACTATTACCATTGAATAACTTTTGTAAATGTAACAAACATGTTTAGTTTATTGCATTTTTTAAATGTTTTATAAAATAAAAACAATTTAACAAAAATAATTATTAATTTCGTTATTTTCATAATTATAAAAATTTAATAAACACGCATTAATAAATAAATTTATAGGCATATACGTATATGTTCGTAAATAATATATTACTATTTTGCCACTTTTCCCAACATTTTATGACACTTTTCTGCCACTTTTTTCAACATTTTATGCCACTTTTGACACTTTTTTTCATGACCGAAGTGAGTCCGAGGCCTGTTATTCCTTTATTTATTTATCGTTGCTTCAATAATGATTATTTTTATCTTAATGTTTATTTTAATACTTATTATTTTACATTATTATCTTATTTTAAGTCGGCTCTCAATTTCAACTTGATCTTTATATATATCGATCGATTCGTCTTGACGTAAGTAATACAATTATTTCATATATAAACTTTAATTTAAAAAAACACAAAATTTTAAAGCCAAAATGTGAATTTTTGATTTTCTAACTTTCATTAATTCTTTAAATTTACCTCAAATGTATACTTTATATATATATCAATCGATTCGTCTTGACGTAAGGAATACGATTTTATTATATATAACCTTAAATTTTTCTATTTAAAAATTTTTTCGATTAAAAAAAAATTTTTGGAAAAAAGACGATAAAATTTTTTTTTTTTGTATTTTTAAAAATCCTTTGGTCAGATTTGAGATATTAATATGATAAATGAGCCTAAAAAATTTTATCTGAATCCATTAAAACCTGTTAAAGTTATCTTCTAAACAAAAAAAGAGATCCACACACACACACATACATACATCCGGACAATTGATCAGGATCTCATATAACATGTTTCTATAAAGAAAAAAATTTGTTTCCGCCACTTTGAAAAGTTTTATAAACGAAAGGACTACAAAGCTTCCTCCACGAGGAAGCAAAAATGAAGTAAAACTAATTTTAGATC